ATAACAATGCTCTTGACAGGCTTCAGGAAATGAAGTCAAATTAAAAAAGAAAGGGAGCGTGACCTACGTTGTTCCCCGCGGGCCGCTGTTAAGAGAATACGGTCGTGTAGCCTTTAGTCTGAGGTGTCGGCCTTCAGACTCTTCCCAGCTTTAATTTCGGCCAGAAGCTCAGAATTATCTCCAGTGGGGGACATCATGTTGAAGGATTTATTGCCTGCGATAAAGACAGAGGGAAACTGAGCCAGGATGAATGGATGCGTGAAGAGAAAGAGAGAGACACACCGGACAAGCTTCTCCCCTAAATATTTCATTTAAAACCCCAGACGTCTAAACAAATGTCTAAATGCACTCAGTGGCTGTGCTAGTATTTAACAGTACTAATTCAAATAATGCACTCACTAAATAAAGTTTTAAAAAGAAAGGACCAAAAGTAAAGAATATTAAAAAAAAACATTCAGGCCTTTGTTGAAGTTTCAACAATCAAAATGATTTAAAACGTACATGGCATTCGAATAATTTGACCCACTGCTGTGTAGAAAATACTGAAATAAAATTCAAATATATTCATTCTAATTACCATAATTCTTAGCAGAAATTTGGTGAATTTGATAGGATAGTGGGTGGCAAATGAGGCCAAATGGGATTTTATGAGACTTGTGGTGTGAAAATATAGAACTTATTAAATTTAAGATTGTTACATAACATAATCTACTTGACCAAATGTGGCCTCTGCTCTTGAAGTTTTAATGCCATAATACATTGCAATGCCAGAAAACAAAAGTTTGTTGTACACAGTGTCTAATAACAACCTCTAAACAATCAACAAATGTTACCGTTAACATGATTTTATCCTCTTTAATTATGGAAAGTATATAAAGTGATAAAGAAAAACCACCAGAAAAGCATGTATAACCGACTATAAATGAATGCTGACAGCTACAGGTATAAATAGAACACAAATCTGCTCTGCAAGAAAAAAAATGCAAAGCTAAATTATGTAAAAAAAAAAAAATCTGTATTTAAAAAGTATACCTATAGACCACTGGACTACTCAAACTCTCAATGTAATTTTTCAACTTCTTACATAAATAAACTGAAATAAAAATCAATTAATGCACATCACCTGGTGTTCTTGATTTAAATCTCCAGAATGCCTCGTAACAGACGTGCTATTGTTTTGTCATAGCTGAGGTTATGAATAAGTCTTCTCAGACCGATCTACAACCCTCCTGATTCAAACTCTCCTCTCCTCCCCCAAGAGCAAAGAAACGGGCGTTTGCTTACTGCCGTTGCTCATCACAGTTAGAGAAGTCTGAACGGAACAGCGCGTAATCAACTCTGACAAGACACGGCTGCCAAATTGGAGCTGGATTTGAAGTCCACTCACTGACCCTACGTCCTCTCCTCACTCTCACTGACCCTTCTCCTTACTCACAGTTCTGTCCTCTGATCAGCCACCCTCTCGCTCTAACTCTTGCTCAGCAACCAGCTGAGTGGATTAACAGGAAAGAGTCTCACGCATGCTGAGCAACACATTAAAAGGTGAATAAATTGCCGTTAAAGAAATAAATAACCCAAAAAATAACATTCAAAGATGCTTTCTGTTGATTTTCTTTCATAAGATGTCGAAAAATCCACTTATGTCTACAAATTACCTTACAATGACCATACAAATGACAAAATAAACAACTTAAATCAGCCTAAGATGGCGCCTTAGCAGTCTTAGCTGGTTAAAACTGCTCTATTGGTCTTCCGTCCTGATCAGCTTAAAGTGCCAAAAAACCCTTTAAAACCAGCAAAACAAGACGATAAGTCATGACAGCATGGCTGGGAGCACCAGACCAAGTGCAACAATGAGAAATGAATAGAAAATTTGGCTGGAAATCACTAGTAATATGATTTAATGGTTTATCTCTTTCGACCAATAGAGGGCGCTGTGACCAAATTGATGTGGTGTGGTCTGAGGTGATAATAACACATGCAAAGTTTGATAGGTTTGGCATCAATTTGTTGATGTGATATACCAGAACTGTTTCGCCTATCGACAAGAAATCCATGTCTGAAGATGATATCATTCGATTTTGGTGAAAATTGGACCTAGGATGGGTTTTTAAAGATAATCAGAATGAGGAAGTTCGGCCAACTGTGGCAAAATTGGTATCTATGTTCTCTGTTAAGACCAGTTTCATTGCAATAATGCTAATGGAAAGTTATTCGCATTTTGGGGAATTTCATACCCTTATGCTTACGGAGCACAGCGAGAACTGTAAAAAAACGTGTTTAATTTACGGTAAAATACCGGCAGCTGTGGTTGCAAGAAATTTACCGTATAAAATACGGTAGCAAGACTTTACGGTAACAAGGTTTCACAGAGTGACTTAACTTCAAATTTACAGTTTTGAAGTGTTAATTTGAAGTATTAATATCTGTTCTGTACCATTGTAATACACTAACAACCAACAATCACAGCAGTGATGAGTAATTTATTATTAATATTTAGAAGCTGCACGCAGTGTCATTCACTCAAACATTAAACACCATCATGGTAACACACATGAAATTTTAAAAAGGCAATAAACATTAATTTAACAACATTATATGTCACATAGAACCCTAATGTACATAACTGATTAGAAAAAGACTAAGAAACAAGTGATTTCAACAAAAATACATCAAATGCAGGGCATTGTGGGGATGTCAATTTACGGTTTTTCACTGTAAATTATACAATGAGTTGTTCATTTTCACTTTAAAAACTGTAAAACGGTATTTTACAGTAAAATTACATGGAATTTACCATTAGATCTATTACAGTTATTTACTGTATAGTAAGGAAAGCTCTGTTAGCCAATTAACAGTTTTTCACTGTGGAATTTTTACAGTCTTTTACCGTTAAAATCACGATCATTTTTTTAAAGTGAGCATTTCAAATTCATTCCTATGGAAGTTTGCAGGTTCCATATTAGGATTGGGTTTAAATCCATAATATTGCCAAATAGGCACTTTAACATTTGGCTTTAAAACCAAATCTTTCGCCATCATCTTGCCAGTCAGCTCACATTCAGCTCACCTCACTCGCCATGTGATAAAATAAATCTGACTTTTGCTGCTGATCAGTGCTGTGGCTCTCGTTTGCGTTCAGTTTTTAATTAGTGTCTGTTCTCTAACTGAACAAAAACATTTTTTACTAAAAAAAAATACAGCGATAGGCAAGTGATGTAATCGGTGAGCGGCTGAACACAGTGTAACTGACTATCTCAGTAAGCCTATAGCATCAACATAAGTGAAAATTTGGACAGTTGGTGGTGCAAAAGCAATTGAGTTAGAGACTCCACAATCACTGTGGTTAAAGTTCAATCTGTCATCTATCCATCTGCCAAATTTCATAACTTTCCAGCAAGCGGTCAATGGGCTGCCATAGACTTCAAGAGCAGAAGAAGAAGAAGACGAACACACGCACCTTCAGTGCTTTGACCCTACTAATAAAATGCAACTTACAACATGTCATTTGCATAAATACGACAGGAATACTTAACAACTTTTAAAGAGATGTTGTGCAAACTACAATACAATATATTATAATAAAACATTACCAAAACGACAAAAGAAAATATGGGTCAGATTAAAAATACACAGTTTTGCAACTGTGTGGGCTTGCCAAATGATGTCAAATTTCAAATCTGGGTTGATCTGGGTACTTCTGCATTTGGGACATCACTTAAAATGTCAACATGTATAGGTAAAAATGTACTGAACTGATTTATTCATGCATAAAAAATGAAAATGTCTATATATCACTCCTCCCTTTGTTCAAGAATGGAAAACTTAATCATTCTTTACTTGAACACTGATCATTTACATGGTAACAATGTCTGTTTGGTTGAAAAAAAGTTCAAATATTTATAAAATTATCCAAATATAATTTATATTTCAGCTATTTTGCCCAGCATTAGCATCATCATATATCTCAGTAAAAACACACAATACGTTACCTTCAACCTTGACTTGACAAATCTTCATTTATGAACTGTAACTAAATATCACGTTAATAACTTAAACAAAGGCAAACAGAAGAACTTGAGCCTGAATACGAGCAGAAAAAAAAGAGGATCAAGATGTTAACAAAAGCTGTGCATAGTGAGGGATGATGTGACGTAGGTTGAAGGTGTCGCGTTGACGGGAGGGCAGAGTCAATAAGGCCGCCCACTGTTTACACACCTTTATACTCATTCACTACAGTATGACTCTGCAGACCAGTGTCAAATGACAGCACTTTAATGGATGAATTGCTTGTAAATTCAATACATTTTTATTCCAGAATCGATTTTTTAAGGGACAAGTCAACATGAAAGCTAAAGTTCCTATGGTTTAATCAGTGTATTTCATAATCTTCAATCAAAATATTACAACTTGCTCTGCGTCTGAAACAACTTTACTTATCTGCTGATGTCATCAAGACCTCTTGGTTGTCAACCAACCACCTGGCTCCATTCTGGTATGACACGCCCACTTTTTTATAACAATTCATCATTGTCTATCCTGTTTCACTCAGTAAAACGGGGGTTGTGAATGCCATTTCATGTTGACTTTTTAAAAATTTTTAATGTTTTGAGCCACGAAACAACCTCACCCGCAGCACAATTTCATCAATCGATATAGCTAAGCTGTATTAACAATCACAGCTGATGTGCCAGAGTCCCCACAGCATCTGGGAAGCCTGTGGGCTGATCGAAACTGGAATCACAGAAAAAACTCACTCTGGGTGCTGTGGTTTCTTTGGCTATCTGAAAGTGACTAGGGTAATATTGAAAATGATTGTTCATTGAAAATGGAAAATGATTTACTTCAGCTTGTGGTCCAGTAGCCAAACAAACAACACACTTAATGCTCTCAATGAAGGGAAATTAGAAGAATTAATGTAAAGAATGAAACACACACAAACACACACACACACACACACACACACACACAAATAATGAGGTTTGGGGGAAAATACTTACTCTTCCTCTGACGCAGTGTTTCTGGAGCCGGGTTGACAGAGGGAGACAGATGCGTAGAAGAAAGATCTACTTCTTTAGAGCGATTGCGTCATAAGAAGAGAATAATACAGAAAGCCGGAAGGCACAGCAAAGAGTCCATGCAAAGCAGACAGCCAGAGAGAAAGAGAGACAGATCCCAGCAGACAGGTGTTCAGTAAGACAGGTGTGGTGAAGACAGACACAGAGGATGATGGGATGACAAATACAGTAAGGACATGGAGGAGATGAAACAAACAAACAAACAAACAAACAAAAAACGAAACACAATATATAATAATTTTAAATAATTGTGTTTGTATGTATGCATTGAACATATTTGATTGACAACCTTTATTAAATTCCTAAACCAATAAAATGGGACAGGGCAATAAAACACTGGGTTTTTGTCTAAAGTGCTTGCTCACACAAAACTTCATGGCCCTCTTCATGGTTCGGTATTTGCTATGCGGTTGCAAATGTGCTCTGAGGTCTTTTAGTATGCGCAGTAGGTTGCTAGGGTACTCAGGTGGCTGTTCTGGTTGCTAGGAGGTTTCTATAGAGAGCCTAAGTCCCGCCCCCCCACTTCCGGCTCATGGGACCTTATTTCGGAAAAAATATGAATGGTAGTCAATGGCGAGAGACAACTTATCTGAACTGTGCCCTCAATTACACATATGATGTTTGTCAATTTAAAAGATAATTCTGAAAGTCAAAAACGGCGCAGTTTGTCATAAAACAGAAGAGTAACATTTAGTTTTATGTGAAAATCGCTCAATGAACTACATCTCCCGGGAAGCAAAACAACGAGCGAGATCTGCTGCTCGTGTGTGTGTGCAGTCTGGTACAAACATGGCGTAACGTTACGATTATAACGTAAGACTATAGAAACAATGACAGACATTAGCCTCAGTAAAGTTAGCTTCATTCATTGAGAGAAAATGTGCGCCTTTGGGGTTTGTAGTCTTTGTAATTATGTATTTTCACAATCTGTTGATAATTTACGCCTCACATTTTTTCTCCTGTTCAATGGTCTCTTTGGTGGGAAGTGTGTTTTTCTCCTGCGTCTCAGTTTTCTTCAGCTTGGTCTTGTCAAACTGAGAGATTTCACTGATATTTGGTTTGTCAGCCATTGTTTTACTTTAGCTTTCATTTAAAATGTATCTTTTAAATTGACAAACATCATATGTGTAATTCAGGGCACAATTTAAACGAGATCAAAATATTTGTTGTCTCTCGCCATTGACTACCATACAATATTTTCCGAAATAAGGTCCCATGGTGGTTGACCGGAAGGGGAGGGACTTAGGCTCTCTATAGCCAGTCATCTGACTGGGTACCATGGAATTGCTAAAGGAGGTTTGCTTGTCCAAGCCATTTTTACCCCTTTCATTATCTGGCAGGTGAAAATTGGACCTCTCCTCATCCAGTCATACGAATTTATCGAAACTGTGCAGGACATGTCACACACTTAACATTTAAAGGAATAGTTCACCCAAAACTGAAAATTCTGTCAGTAATTTCTCACCCTCATGTTGTTCCAACCCCGTAAGACCTTCGTTCATCTTCGGAACACAAGTTAAAGGTTCTCTAAGCGATGTCGGGTGACGTGACTTCTTGTTGACGTTTAAAGTATTTTCAAACAAAAGGGAGGCTAGATAGACCCTCCCCCCTCCTCATCCGCGCACTGACCCCCCAAACCCCACCCCCAGGGCCTTCTTGTTATTGAAGTTATTGGCTGGAACAGTTTGTTATGTTTCGTGGAGCGGGTCGCCGCAGTTTGTCATTGTTGCTATTTGTGGAGCTTGGGTTGTCTGCATAGACCGCGTTTTTTTTACAGTGTGTTTAGGGGACAGGCAGCTAGCGGATAGTGAGGAGATGTTTGCTGTATGTGACAAAAAACGTGTGGCATCGCTTAGAGCACCTTTAAGATATTTTTGATGAAATCTGAGAGCATAGGCTTCTTAAGGGATTGAAACTTGCCGGCCCGAAAAGTTATTAAAGACATTGTTAAAATAGTCCGAGTGACCACAGTGGCTTAATCTTAAGTTTATCAAGCGGAAATAATACTTTTTGTGCGCAAAAATAAATAAATAACGACTTTATTCAACTATTAATTTCCTTCTCTGTGGGCCTCGAGTGAGTTCACTAGTGTAACAGCGTAAGCTTCAGTTGTTGTATGTCACACGCATCACACACATGACCAGCATCGGCCAATAGTGAGCCTACGTGTGACGTAGCTCTATGCTATCACACTACGTTACCTGACTGTTGAAATAAAGTCAGGTAACGTAGTGTGTAAAAATAAAGTCGCTATTTTTGTTTGTTTTTGCACACTAAAAGTATTCTTGTCACTTGATAAAGTTAAGATTGAGCCACTGTAGTCACTCGGACTATTTTAACGATGTCTTTCATAACTTTCCGGGGCCGGCAAGTTTCAATCCCTTAAGAAGCCTATGGAGGAGTGATCCAGGTCTCAGATTTAATAAAAAAATATCTTAATTTGTGTTCTGAAGATGAACAGCCTTACGGGGTTGGAACAGTATGAGGTAGGGATGCAAACAGTTAATCGATTATCGATTAATAGTCGACAAGAATTTACTCGATTAAATTAAATTAATTGTCGGCTAATTGAACATTGCGAACGTGACACGATTTTCTCACGCGAGAGTGCCGACACAAACTTGAGGCGGCAAAAAATAAACCAAACATGAGGCGGTCAAAACGGAGTGGAGTGCATCGATATTGACTACCAGCTATACAGCGTGCTAACCTCGAAAACCCAGCTGTATTCTAACAATAACTTAGCTCATACCTGTCAACACTCCCGTTTTCCCGGGTTTCTCACGTTTTTTAGGCTTATCTCCCGGACGGCTCTCCATTATTTTTCCCGGGAAACTGTGTCTAACTGTATGTCACACTTTCATACACACTTTCATACATGGTGTGTTCACTTCGCAGAGACAGCAAAAGGGGTGTTCGAGGCACACGGCATATACAATACAATACTGCCGATAGTTCAGCTCTTAAAGGGGCCACACCTTATTTCTACTCGTTGACTTCCCCCTCAGCCTATATTATAAGTGCAGCTGCTAATGTAACAAGTTCTTTTTTTATATAACCAGATAGATTATTACATGTAGGCTTAATATAGTGTAGGTAAGCCTACCCATATAGATTTTTATTTACATTTATTTTATATTGCTTAATGTTTCACATGCAGCAGGTGAGCCAGTGCACGATCATGTTTTAGGTATTTTAATTTTCTGCGCATAATTTATTTAGTTAAACTACATAAATGCCATTATTCTGTGACGTATCCCAAATGTTTAAATAAAACATCAATTGAGCAATATAACATGCATTTTTATTCAGTATATAATCAATATTTAGCTTTTTATGTTAAATTGATACCATGAGAAATTTACATTCTCGGGAAAATAGGCGCTTATCAGTTAATCGTTAATCGATCGATAAGGTTGTTCAACCTAATTTGCATCCCTATGAGAGAGAGTAAAAACTGACAGAATTTTCATTTTTGGGTGAACTATCCCTTTAACACACATGGTTATGAGTTTGTTCAAATGTACAATCAATAAAAATAGTGATACTTGAACTGGATCTGTATTTATCACCCTGCATAGCTGTCATAAATATGACGGAAGAATTAGAGATTCATTATTTCATGCTTGAGTACCTTAAAACACCAATTCTTTGCAACAGAAGAAGGAAATCAGGTGTCCAGCCAGATAGTGTTGGGCCTTCTATCTGTGTACTCACTGCTTTTGTTTTCTCTTTCACAGGCCACCATAGATGCAAATGGACGGTGTAAATCAACAGCCAGTGAGTCTGTATAAAGTGTTACATTTCCCTGACATATTGTACAACACATCATGGATATTGTCCTGTCCTGAAGACATGTCAGGTATCCCTTGGAGGAAGAACAATTAAGTAAATGGTAGAACACTAAACCCGATTTCAATAGCCCAGTAACAATAGCCCATGCGCATGAATTCGTAAATAGACTTTGGAATGAGCAGGCCGCCAGATCTCATGTTAACAAGCTAGAACTTTGTAAGATTTACCTTGTGGCCGTTTCTAAGTCTTCATTCTTGTGCTCTTGGAGAGCACTTGGTGATATCGAGAGTTGGACTGAACATGGATATGTCTACTGATATCCACAACATCTGGTTTAAATAAACGGTTTAGGATTGCAGACTAAACAGCATGAATATTTTAAATTGGATGTTAGATTGGTTGCACATTCACCCATGGCTGAAGATCCAAGCAAACACAAATACATAAATTGAAGTTTGACACCTACAGTATGCACTCACACCAGTCTTGTTAAATTTCATATTAAACATTTTAAAGGAATATTCTCTGTTAAAAATTTGTGACATACTGTTGATTACCACTTGGCTTTAGATGGTTATATTATAACTGAAACTAAAAGAGCTTGAGAGTGGTTTTTGCGTAATAAAGAGAAAACGTCTCAGGTTACGACTGTAACCTATGTTCCCTGAGAGTAGGGAATGAGACAATACGTCTCCTAAAGCGTCAATGACGAATTGTTGAGTTCCCTTCGAAAGGGAACTGGAGAATCCATACTATTTACAATATTTCATAGAGATAATTTTTCCAAGGTCTGGCTCTCTACAATATATACCTTAACATTGATGACATAGCAACAGATGCCTGGCTTTCACATGTAGTTTTATTCACATGGGGCCTCATTATAAAACGTGTGTATGCACAGATTTGTGCGTTTGATAAAATCCACATCAACGTTCATATTTTTAAATATGATAGTGCTTATCGCCATGTCAGTTTCGAAACAGACGTACGCTCTTTTCCTAGTGGCACAGAGTCGGAGTACTGCAGTTATTTGGGAATCTAAGCAATTCTCGCCATTCTCAATGAAAGGATTTGGACGTCATTGACTGGAAAATACATTAAACTGTGCAATATTTATATATATTTTACATCTGGAAGAGAGATGTACGTACATTTTTTGTGCGTACCTTCGTTCTCTGAATCACACGTATGCTCATTTGAGAAATTAATGTAATATCAAATGTAAGATGGTGCCTATACAATATTTTTAGACCCCTGGTGTTTTTCCAATGGTCTAAAGAGTTTGGATGAATTACTTTGTCTAAGGTACTTAAATTCGGTGCACTGTAGCTAATTTGTTGGTTTCCCAGTATCTGGACTTTTAGCCTTTATCTCTGCATTAGCTAGATACTGTATACTGTCTATTTAACAAAGTCTTTTAGGTAGTCTAGCTGTGTTCTGACTGACAGGGTCCCTATGCAGTGTTCACTGCTTCCGGTTTATCAGGATATCAGTAGAAGTTCACCTAACTTAAAAAAAATTAAGTCACAGGCAAAACTGTAGTCATTTATATTGGGGGAGTTGTATATAACACTATACAAAACAATTTTCTGTGGTAATTGATATACTCGTACTGATATACCCCATTTGGCACAATAAATGTACTTGATAAGCCCATCTTGTGAGTCTTGTTCCTGAGTCTGCACTCATTTGTACACTTTTGAGGGCTTTCGAAGACTTGCATGCATGAAAATTGAAAAGTGGTCACCTTACGTGTAAATTATAAACATGAAAAACACACAAATCTACTGGCTTTCATAAAAAAAACTAAACAAAAGTATCAAAGTATTAACTCATTTTGTACAATCTGTCAAAGCTGTGGCATGGCTGTTTTTGTCATCACTTTCTGCCACTAATAATCTGCCCTCTAGGGATAGGAGAAGAAGGGTCAAACTAGTGAAAGGGTCAAATACATAACCCCTAAATAAGCATTGTTACTTATTTCACAAGCAAAGAGGTCAACTAAATATCACTAAAGACCTTCACATAAAAGTCTAAATGTGTGCTTGTATTGTCAATGGTTAAATAGTCAAATCTCACTGCAGTGTTCCCTCTCCATCACTGTATCAAACTGTATCAGGCTACAAATCACTGTCTACACTCCCATTAGTACTCACCACATTGCACTGCTGCTCATTATGCAACTTCATTTGTGTAAATCTGGTCAACTTTGTTGCATTGTCAATGGTTGCTGTCACTCATGTTGCCTCAATTCGCTAACTGAAAATAACTAAATCCCTGTGTCATTGCACATTGCTGTTAGAATGAACTCCCTTTAAAGTTACCATAACCAAAACAGCCTGGTTAATTATAAAGACTGTGACACACCAAACCAGTGATGTCAAAAAGGTATGCATGTTCAGTGTCTGTGTGAGAGGAAATAACTGTCTATACAGGCAGTGTATAATATAGTACATATATGGTATAGTCTACCTTTGTATGCGAGTATACAAACCGTAAAAAAAGGAGAACTTGCTTCACATTTTGAATATGTTGATCAGTTGGTTTTTACATAATTCATTCCAGATGTCCATGTTGTTGTGAAAATATTTGCATTTAAATGCTCAAATAAGTGAAGATGTACAATTAAAAGAGCTGTCAGCATCACATTTTTCTTGCTTTCTTGCTGTCGTGCACTCGTTCAATAAGTTGAACAACCAATCAGAGTAGTCCTTTGCACCAACTGTCAATGCCAATTCAACATATCCAACTGGCCAAAAAGTCGCAGACTGAGTCCAACAAGTGCAGAAAGTGTGGAACAGACCACAAAAAACTAGACGCTCAACAAACGCTCGACTTTGGTAGATGGCTGACCGTCGGCTTGGTGTGTTACAGCCTTAAAGGGATAGTTCCAAACCTGTTTACATCTCTTTGTTCTGCTGAACACAAAGGAAGATAGTTTAAAGGATGTTGGTAACCAAACAGATCTCGGACCCCATTGACTACCATAGGGAAAGATATACTATGGTAGTCAATGGGGCCTGAGATCTGCTTGGTTACAAACACATCTTCCTTTGTGTACATCAGAACAAAGACATACAGGTTTGGAACAATTTGACAGAGTAAACAATGACATAATATTTTTGGGAGGATGAACAATCCCTGTAAGGACTGTTTAATTGAAAGGCACAAGAGTGAAACCGCAACAGCTGGCTTGTGTTGTGCTTTCACATTGACAGTATATTGTTACTTGGTATGAAATATACAATGAATGCTGTTAAAAGAGAAGTTCACTTTGCTGATAATTTACTCACCCCCATGTCATCCAAGATGTCCATGTCTTTCTTTCTTCAGTCGAAAAGAAATTAGGGTTTTTGATGAAAACATTTAAGCATTTTGCTCCATATAATGGACTTCAATGGGAACCAAACGGTTCAAGGTCCATGAGAGTTTCAGTGCAAACTGTTCAAAGGGCTTTAAATGACACCAGACAATGAATAAGGGTCTTATCTAGCGAAACGATCGGTCATTTAAAAAAAAAAAAGTTTACGTTTTATAAGCACAAATGCTCGCCTTGCCCTGTTCTGTGATGCGCATTCGTGACTCTCCTGTTCGAACTCGTTCATCAAAATGAACAAATCTTTTTTCGAGTCATGACTCGAAGGGTCCTAGATAAGCCCCTTATTCATCGTCTGGTGTCGTTTAAAGCCTTTTGAAGCTGCACTGAAACTCTCATTTGGACCTTGAACCGTTTGGTTACCAATGACGTCCATTATATGGAGAAAATCCTGGAATGTTTTCATCAAAAACCTTAATTTCTTTTCAACTGAAGAAAGAAAGATATGGACATATTGGATGACATGGGGGTGAGTAAATTATCAGCAAAAGTTTTTTTTTTTTTAAAGTGAACTACTCCTTTAATGCATGACCCCTTTAAACACTTTATGTCACCATTGTGAAGTTCTGGATGAGATGGTGGCAGTACTCACTGCTGGAGGAGGAAGACATGCGCCGCTGGGAAGGGGCTGGTGTGCTGGTTGATGGGGGAGGAGGAGGGGGCAGATCCGATGGAAGAGGTGGAGGAGGAGGGGGAGGAGGGATGAAGGTGCTGCTGGGTGGGGGAGGTGGTGGAGGAGGAAGGGGTAGATCCTCTGCGGTTCCTGTCCCGTTCTCGGGAGCAGGGGCTTTGTCTGCAGAGTCCTCCAACAGTGCAGAACCCTGTAGAGAGAACAGATAAGCATCGAGCATTCATATGGACTCCACATATTTTTTTTCTAAAAACCTTAATTTGTGTTCAACTGAAGAAAGAAAGTCATATACATCAGAGATGACATGGGTGTGAGTAAATGATTAGAAAGTTTTCATTTTGGGGTAACCTATACCATTAATATACAGAGACCACTGCAATTGAGTAAGGTATTTGTAAAACTTTTTCCCTGAAAAGTGTGAACAATGTGCAACAACCCTTGAAGAAAAAGAAGTATATTTGAGTTCATTTTATGATGTATACTTAAGGAATGTTCAAATATATTTTAAGTATATGTAGTAAGTATTCTAATATATCAACTTACTAGTAGTAAACTGCTTGGGATTAAATTGGCTCACTTTTTAGTATGTAAAAGTATACGTTTGTAGTGTAGCCTACTATAAGTGTAACAGTAGTAAGCTTTTAGTTCACAACCACGTTTGTCATTTGTACTGCATCTGTACAAGTGAACTTACTATTTACTATTTTAATGCGTGTAGAACTATTTTTAGTATGAAAGTACACTTTGTAGTTTTATACTGCAAGTATACTTGTACGTTTTCTTTAAATAAACTTACAGTTTTTTATTTATTCATAATTTTTCCAATCTAGGTATTCATTTTTTATACTTGAAATATAACTGTACTTTAACTCTTTCCATTTTAAAAACACGTCATTCTAGCTTCACGCTTCTTTTTTATCACTACTTGAATGTGGGTAAGTTTAATTTAAAAAAAAAGCAACATTTCAAACAAAAAGATGAGAAAATCACATATTTTTGTCAAAGACTACTCAGAACGATGATCAAAACATAGAATGAGTAGATCGAGTCCATCAAAACCGCCAAAGCTTGACGGTTATTTCCTCTTCATAGGTTCAACAAGTAAAGCGTAAGTAAAGTACAATTAAAGTAGATTTGGAGTGGACTAGCCAACACAAAAATTCAGAAGCTCAGAAAAATGAACATAAGATATCATTATAAATCAATATTTTCAATGTAAGTTGCAATGCAATAAGACAGTATGTAAAACTACAAATTTAATAGATTAAACACAACTACGAGCCAAGTTTAGAATGCTTAATTATACTATTAAGTGTAGTCCTGAATGTTTAAAACAATGGGACGGTACTTCTGCCTACGTCTAGCGTGACCTTTCTAACGTGATTATGTAATGCCTGGACCATCACAAGACCAACAATTGTGGTTAAAAAGTATTTACATTTTCTTTTTCTTTTTTTTTTTGTAAATGACCGATCGTTTCGCTAGATAAGACCCTATTCCTCAGCTGGGATCGTGCAGAGCCCTTTGAAACTACATTGATTTGGACTTCAACAATTTGGTTACTGTTGTGTGGAGAAAAATCCTGAAATGTTTTCCTCAAAAAAAAAATAAAAATAATTTCTTTTCCACTGAAGAAAGAAAGACATCAACATCTTGGATGGCATTGGGGTGAGTAAATTATCAGGAAATTTTCATTTTGGCGTGAACTAATCCAATGCACTTTATTTATTTATTTATTTTGAAATTTGAAATTGATTTGAAGGATAGCCCCTTGAGATGTAACATCTCGATTTCGAGGGAGTTTATTTGTAAATGATTGTTGTGGCATCTACATTTTTAGTTAAAAGTGTTCAGTGACACAATATGCACTTCACTGGCACAGTGACACTTCACTGTTCAGTGCAATAATGAAAGTTTTTATTTGTCTGCAGAGTTATCAATATACAGTCATGTGATACACAGCAAGATGTATTTTCAGCTATTTAAATTATTGTTATTTTTATAAGTGTTGCAATATAAGGCAAAACCTATAGCGTATATTGCATAGCAGCTGTATCGTATCGTCAGGCCCTTGCCAATACCAAGCCCTAATCAATGCAAAATTGAGAATTTTTTTAGTGTATGTGGTGTTTTTAATGTGCTTTAAGACAAACCGTGTAAAAATGCAAAGTCAACACCATTGCTGAGTATGTTTTCTTTTTAAAACTGCAGTGAATGGTCTCAAAAACGCATTGAAATCACTGGTGTTTCTGACCTCTCAAACTACCTTATAACCATTCACAACAACGTGTGATTGTCAACGAGTGGATCTCTGCGCTGGTGTGAGTGAGTGGAGGCAGGGCTAATTTGCATATTCATAGAACCGTGTATACTAAATGGGGCAAGGGTGTAGATACATATTTGAAAAAAAAAAGACATATTTAAACGTTTTGTCATTTTGGTGATCAAAGATGAGTTTTAAAAGGATAAAAGTATTGACTATGGGGGACTTGAAGTGCATCACTTTTTTAATTTAGGTGACACAGAAAATTTTCTCTTTCATGTTGTGAAGTGGTCATCTGTCATCTATGGCTAATTTTATTTACCCTCTAAATTATCATGATCAGGACCTTCATGCCTGTAATACTTTTTTACCAAGTAACAAAGTTCACTAAAAGTGCTTTTTAGTATAATTCTAGAAATGTCCCCTTCAGGTTGTGATACACACATGTTTTTGCAGCGAAATCTTGAAATGATTTGAACGTAATTGAACTTATTAAACATAAGAACAACTTTTATATTGTTAGTAATATTTCAATATGAACACTTGCTGGACTGAAACAACTTAGGTTTTACTAGTCATCCTCATTTATATAGCGCTTTTTAACAATGTAGATTGTTTCAAAGCAGCTTTTAAGGGAGGACTTAATATAATTAATAGTCCCTAATTCTAGATTCTAGTAGTCTGCCAAAATTGCATATTTTTGCTCAGTTTGGTCCTCTGAATAAAAACGAGTTTTCCCCCCTCTTAAGTGTGAGCTCCATATTGTCCTACTGTATATCATTCTATATGAGCCATTAAATAATAATGTGATAAAAAAACAACTACAAGCCAAGTTTAGAATACTTAATTATACTTTTAAGTATAGTCCTGGATGTTTAAAACAATGGGATGGTACTTCTGCCTATGTCCATTTGATAAAAAAAAAAAAAAATACATAAAATTTTTATAACTATTATTTCATATGTACAGGGTTAAAAGTTCAATTAAAAAAATAATTTTTGGACACTAAAATGATCATAGGCCGATTTAAATTATGAATATACTTCCCAAAACCACTTAATCTGACCGACATACCTCCCACCGCACCCTGCTGTATGCATTACCGCTGGTGAATACACAATTAGATCTAACTGAGTGGTTTGCTGGAATGACAGGACATCTGCTAAGCTAAGAGCGGCAATCCTTCACACTCAGAATCTCTAGAGACCACCCGCCCCTGTCGACTGACGCCAAGTAAACAAGCCCTGACCTTTCACCCCATGCACCCCCCTCCTCTTGGACGCGTGCCATGCACGTGCCAGTTATCCCCACCCCTCCTCCTCATCATCACTATCTCCACCATATGGTGCGTGTCATGTCCCATGCATGTCCGTGTTAATGGGTCATTCCCCAAAGAGACATGTGGAGTGCCATCTGGTTCAATCAAGTGGCCAGATGCCCCACTGGGCATCTAATTGGCTCAATGAAGATTAGATCCAATAGCAGAGAGGGGCCATATGAAATGCTGATATATTGCAAATTATTCTCTCTCTTGATATGAAAGATGTTTCTCCTAAAATTCCTTAGGATTAATTCAAATAAACAGAAATGGCACCTTTTTGGGTAACTCTTTATTTTTAGATAGTAAAATGTCTAAAGTGGACTAAGTATTAAGTATCTACGCAACCTCGTGTCAACTATACAATATTCGTACTATTATAGTAGTAGATTGTCTGCTAAATAATATTAACACTTTATTTTAATGGTGCCCTCAACAGACTATAGAAGTAATTTTATGAACTTTAATTCTTAACTTTATTTCAGTTACATTTATTTACTGACTGTCAACTTATTCTACTAACCCTAACCATAATCATAACCCTAACCTAACAGTCTATCAATACTCTAAACGTAGTTAACATGTAGTTGCAAATTAATGAGAGTTAGTTGACGTAGCTACAAAGTAGAATTCACTTAATATTCCACAATATTATTGATTTGACTGCACTGACACTATTGGATGAGAACTGAACAGAGCTAAGCTGCGTTTTCCAAGAGCATTGTAAGCCAGAACCATGAACCATGGTCTCTCCGATCAACTTATTAGGCTTTCAGTGCTTTTGGGAAATGTAGCCCTGGAAAAAGACATTACTCTTTTTCTGCAGAACTGCTTTATTTACACATACCAGAATACCCCAGGTGGTACACAGCAAGTTTTATTTTCAGCTATTTAAATTATTATTATTATTTTTTTTTTTTTGCATTATAAGTGTTGCAATATAACGCAAAACCTATAGCGGTATGTATCGTATCGTCAGGCCCTTGACAATACCAAGCCCTAATCAATGGCTGATAGGGCAAAAATGTGAATTTTTTTAAAAGTTCCCCTGTGGTTAAAATCAAGCTTTTAAAGTTGTTTATATGTCTATGTGTGTTTTTTTAAAGGAATAGTTCACTTTAAAAAAAAAAAAAACTTTTCCTGATAATTTACTCACCCCCATGTCATCTAAGATGTCCACGTCTTTCTTTCTTCAGTTGAAAAGAAATTAGGGTTTTTCATGAAATCATTCCAGGATTTTCTCTATATAATGGACTTCAATGGGAACCAAACGGTTCAAGGTCCAAATGAGAGTTTCAGTGCAGCTTCAAAGGGCTTTAAACGACACCAGACGATGAATAAGGGTCTTATCTAGCGAAACGATCGGTCATTTCAAAAACAAATAAAAAAGTTTAAGTTTTATAAGCACAAATGCTCGCCTTGCTGTTCTGTGATGAGCGTTCGTGACTCTCCTGTTCAAACTCGTTCATCAAAATGAACGAATCTTTTATCGAGTCATGACTCGAAGGGTCCTAGATAAGACCCTTATTCATTGTCTGGTGTCGTTTAAAGCCCTTTGAAGCTGCACTGAAACTCTCATTTGGACCTTGAACCGTTTGGTTCCCATTGA